TAAATATTTTAAGTTAAATATAATTACATTGTTTTTATTTTATCTAAAAAAAATAGTTATAAAAATGCAAAATAGTATGCTAACTTCTTTTGTCGAGTCTGTAATTTTGTTTCTTCAGCATGTTAATTTTTGTTAATTACCTACTATAAAATTTTATTTGATAAACTATTATCGTAGTTTTATTCGTTCAAGTAAAACTTCAAAAACTAATTTCCAAACTATATAGATAGGGTTAGGTAACTTAGGTTAACGAATAATATAACATATGCCTCGAAAACTATATATTAAGTCTCATATCGTGATATTAACACACAAATGATTGTATTATCTTTACGAATCACAAAGCCATCATCGATAAAGATTAATCGTAAAATTTTGAAGGTAAAATCTTGTAGTCTTTAGAGATAAGCAACAATATACGATATAAGTCATATAACTTAGTAGACAGAGTTATCTCTATGTAATTAGAAAGTAAAGATTAAAGGTTCTAAGCAACTTATTGGACCAACCAAATATATTTTGAAAGTCGGAACTATAAAGAAATAGTTGAATATACGAGGAAGCAAAAGAAGGTCCCATATGGTTGTATGGTTGGGAATAGAAGCTGCAGCCAATTATATATAATTTTAATTTATGAAACAAACAAAAAAGTATATGAAATGAGAAAAAAAAGGACACAAAAGCAAATAAGAGGAAATTATGGAAACAAACAAGCTTAAGTCACCACCCCACAAAATACTATATATGTTGTTCAAAGCATTTGTAATTATTTGATATTTTTATCGTGATATTGTTTGTCACAGAAATCAAAGTGGACTCCCCCACCCACCCAGACAAACAAGATAACGAGAAAGCAATAATATAAAGAACAACAATAAAATCATTGGTAAAATTATATAGTCAACATTTGTGTCTATCGTGAAGTCCATGTGATAACATTTTAAAATAACATCAAATCCTATTTATATTTATGAATTCGAATGTTTACATCTTTTGGAAGAAAAAATGTTTTCATATCTTAACATTTAGACCAAAAAAAAAAATGTTTTCATGTTCTATAGGGAAAACATGTTTTTTCTTTCAACATCTTTTAAAAGGTTTTCATAATACTAGCTGGCATAGAAACTAATGTTGACTATATAATTTTACCGAGTATGTTATCAGAAAGCAATTACGAAAATTATCCTATCTTTGCATAATGGAAGTGGTTTAATGACTTGCATTGCATTCTTCTCAAGATTATTGGTTTATTAGTAATATCTTACCGCGTTATATCAATTTACTCGTTAACAATAAAAAAATTGTATCACCTAACACTATTAAAATTAACATCAATTT